GTGTGGGACCGCTGGGTCCTCTAGCTGCCACCTTGCTGCATGTCCACTCTGCACTGGGTGCCTGTGTCCGCCCCTCCTACCAGTCTGAATGAATGTTTCTTTAGCTCGTTGGTTGTCAGACTTCCATACAGTTCAATTTTCTGGCACTTCTGGTTATCTTTTGTTGTTAAATTTATTGTCCTTCTTTTGGCTGTGCAAGGAGGCAAAGTATATCTACCTACTCCTTGAACATCCTTATAATATTTTTTTAATTCTATGTCTGATAGATTGCATGCCTCAATTTCATTTAGCTCTTTATTTGAGGATCCTCCTTCCCTTTCAGTTGAGAATTCTTTCTTTGTCTCTCCATTTTAGGTGACTCTTTTTGATTGTTTCTGCATGTCAGTATGCTCTGCTTTGACTCCCTGTCTTTGTGGAGTGGACTTCTTTGGTAGGAGTTTTGTGGGACTCAGTGGTGCAGTCTCTTTGATCTCCTGATTTGGATGCCCTAGGATGGCCCTTTCTTCTGTTTGTATGGGCTCTCTTGTTGTATTTGGGCTTATCCTGTTTGTGGCTTATTTGTTGTTGGGTTCTCCCCTCCAGCTGGCTGACTGGTAGTCACACCTCCTGCTGCATCTTATATCCTGTTGTACAGGTGCTGGTCAGCAAAACAACATTACCAGAAAACCAAACCATGTCAGCAAAAAACAAACAAACAAACAAACAAAACCCTGCCACATCAGCAATATCAACAGCAATTGAGCAAAGATTAATAAAGGTGGAAAGAGATTAAGAATATTAAAAGATAGGAAAGAAGGACTTTGGACTAAAAGACTAAATGACTAAAAGAGGGAAAATGATTTTGAATGGGAAAATGGAGGAGAAATAATAAGAGTAGGAAATAAAAAGAAAGCAAAGGAGAAAATAAAATTTAAACCTAAGTAAAGCAGGGATACCCAATGGTAAAAATGGAGTAAGCAAAGGAAGGAATATACTATGAGTTTTGAAGTAAAATTAAAAAGGTATTGAACCAATGGGAACAAAATTGTAGAAAAACCACAGCAGGGTCAATTACAATGACAGTTGTGCAAAAACTAATAGAGGTGGATAAGAAATAAGAATATAATACAAGAGAGAAAAGTGTATATGAGATATCTACCAAAAAGAAAAATGATTTGGAGAGGATGTGGGAGACAAGTAATAAGAGTAAGTAAGTTATAGAACCCGGGCTAAGAAACGGAGGGAAAATTAAAATAAAATTTGTAACTCAACTGATCAAGAGCAGGGGAAAGACAAAATGGAGTTAGACAGGGAGAGTAGCCTATGGGATTTAAAGTACAAACAAGTAGTGAACAAGTAGGAATTCCGTTGGAGAAGAACAGAAGAACAGCAATAACCGTGATATCCTTGTCCAACTAACCACAATTTATAAATGTGGAAAGGAAAGAAGACTATTATAAGAGGGTGAAAAAGAACGTGAGCTGACTTAAGGAAGGAAGAATGCTTTTGTGAGGATAGATGGAAGAGAAATAATAGCACTAAGGAATGAGAACATGGTGTATCATGGGAGAAAATAAAGGTTACAACAATAAGTAAAGTCAAGAAAAGGCAAAATGGAATGACACCAGGGAGGGGTGCTATGAGGGATTTGAAATAGCAATAATATGAGCAAAATATATACTCTGAATAAAAAGAATAAAAAATGAAAGACCTAGAATGGTGAGTTAGTTGTAATATAATTGAGACAAAAGAAGAAATATTAAAAGGCTATGTGAAAGGAAAAAAAGGAGAAAGAAAAACAACATTTAAGTTCTAAGGAAGAGCAAGGTGAAATTCATCTCAGCTGTTGGTGTTAGCCTGCTGACTTCTTTCTGGATCCATCTCTTTTTTTTTAATGAGCTCAGGGTCTGGGAGTTGATTGTACAAGTTCTGGCAACACCACCTACATCTTCACCTGCCTCTAAAAGGAGCTTCTGTTGAGATCGAGAGGCTGAGGCCTCCGTATCTCCCCTGGAAAGCACTGTTCATTCTTATGGGAAAATTGTGGGTGCATTCCCCCTGCCCTTACACCTCATACCTTGTTCTGCCTCAGTTCAGTTTCTGATTGAATAGCTTCCATTTCACAGGGGCAGGGAACAATCTATGTAAGAGTGTCAGCTCTCTTCTGTTTGGTGTAGACATCAGCTCTGTGTATGAGCCAAGGGCTGGGTGGTGCCCTGATTCCCCCTTGGTGCACACTTTCTGAACTCCTTGCTTTGATGGCCTCAGTGAAACAGGGCCCTAGGACCCAGTGTACTTTGTTTCCCTGTGAGGAGTTCAATATGGCCCCTTTTAGGTGTTCTTGCTGTCTTACTCTTGCTGATAATGCCCCCTATAGAGCTGTTAAGTCTGCCTAACCGGTTTTGCTGATCTTCCCCTGCTCCTGCAGAAGTTGAGGGCTGCGCTCAGTCTTCCCTTCCCAGAGGTTCAACCAAGGAGGGGGCCCAGACTGGCCTCAAATAATCTCAGGTGCACAGTCCCCAGCCAATCAACCCCGCAGCACACTGTAGCCCACACTGTCCTTTTGCACCACTGCACCAAGCTGGGGCTAAGAAATCACCTTGCTTTGCACCCCTTAAATCAATCCACCCAGGTGTACTGAGTGGAAGTAAATTGCTCCTGCAATCCTCCCTTGTTGGCCTGGCAGTTGCATATGCTGGGTATTTGCCCAGCACTCCTCAGCTCCCCTTTAAAAAAAGTTTCTCTGGATTCTCCCATTGCAGTGCCAAGCCATTGTCCAGCTTTCCACACACTACACCTCTCCAAAAACCAAGAGGTATATTGCAGTCATGACCAGCTACAGTCCTCCTCCAGCAGGACCAGGTGCAGACAGTATCTCTCAGTCTCTGGCACTCCCCCCAAACCCCTGCCCGTCAGTGTTCACTAGCTCTGTGTGTGTGTAGCCTGGTTCACCCCAACGACTTTTTGTACCCAAGTCGCTCTGCACCTGGATCTGGGGATACCCCGCCCTGGGAGGGGATGGAGCCCCTGGACTGCTATCTCTGACCAGATTCTCGATGGATGCAGGCATCGCAACCGCAGGTATCACGCTCACCACAGGTGCTCGTGCCACGCCCAGGGACTTTTCCTATCCACCTATAAAATCTTACTGCCTATTTTGAAGTGTCCTCTGTAATCTTTGGCTTCCAAACTCCGTATCAGCTAAGATTTTGTTGACCGTTATCTTTGTTTTTCAGAAGATCAGCTAAGTGTCCGCGTTGGGTGCCAGAGCAAGTGGACTTGGCTCCCACTACTTCACCACCATCTTCTGAATCTTATCCATTCTTTTTTTTTATACAATTTTTCCCCTACTTTTTGACTACAATGAATGATACGTCTATGAACATTTGCAGAGAAAAACCTCTGCATGGACTGTATTTTCATTCCTTTCAGTTGAATACCTAGTTGTGGAATCAGTGGGTTGTGTGGAAAAATGTATGTTTATAAGAAACTGCCAAACTGTTACACAAAGTTGTGCCATTTTACATTCCCACTAGTAAAATATGCAATTTACAGTAGCTTCGTAACCTCACCAACACCAGGTATGGCCACTCTTTAATTTTAGTCACACTTGGAAGTGTGTAATGGTATTTTAGTATTGTTTTAATTTTTATTTCCCTGATATGATTAAAATTGGTGGGTATTTTTTATTTTTTCATTTATATAATCTGTTTGTCATTTATATAATCTTCTAAGTTCAGACCTTTTGCCAATTTTTATGTGCATTGGTGGTTTTTTCACTCTTGTGTTGTGAGAGTTCTTTATACAAATGTTTGTTCAGGTAAAAGTACCGTGAATATCTTTTCTTAGTCAATGATTTGATTTTTTATTTTCCTAATAGGGCCTTGTAGAGTTGAGCATTTAATTTTTTTAAAAATACTTTATTTATTTATTTTTAGAGAGAGTGGAAGAAAGGGAAAAAGAGAGGGAGAGAAACATCGATCAGTTGCCTCTTGCACATGCCCTCACCGGTGACCAAAACTGCAACCCAGGCATGTACCTAGACTGGGAATTGAACCGGTGACCTTCAGGTCTGCGAGACAATGCCCAACCAAAAGTGCCACACTAGTCAGGGCTGAAGTTTTTAATTTTAAAGAAATCCAGTTTATCAGGTTTTCAAATTTTATGATCCATGCTTTTTAAGCCCTATCTCAGAAGTCTTTGCATACTCCCAGGGTTGTGCATATCTCACTCTTTGTTTACTATATGAGAATTGTGGTTTTAGATTTTCCTTTTAAGTAAATGATCCATTTCAACTTAATTCTTTTGTATGCTGTAAGGTAGAATTGAAGTTCCTTTTTTAAAATGGGTATTCAGGTTTTCCAGAATCATCTGTGAAAACAATCCTTTCCCTACTGAATTATCCTGGAGCCTTTATTAACAATCATTTGACTATACATATGTAGGTGTGTCTCTGTAGTATGCTTCATTGGTTTGTATATTTATGGTTTTACCAGTGTAACACAGCCATATTAAGTCCTAAAATCAGGTAACGCGAATCTTCCATCTCTATTTTTTTAATCTTGTTTTAGATATGCTAGGTGTTTTACATTTCCATGTAAATTTTAGACATAACTTACTGATCTCTATAAAGCAACCTATTTTGACTGTGATTGTCAAAGACTATAAATTGGTTGGAGATAATTGGTATGTTAATGGTAGTGTGTCTTCTATTCCACAGACCTGGTATATTTCCATGTTTATTTAGGTCTTTTAAAGTTTTTCTGAGCAGTTTTTTGTAGTTTTCAGTGTACAGGTCTTACAGATAGTTTGTTAAATTTATTCTTTAATTTCATTTTCAATTATTGTTAATATATAAAAGCGGACTTGATTTTTATATTTTCATATTAGTATCCTGTGACCTTGCTAAATTCACTTATTATTTCTAGTAGCCTTTTTGTGTAGATTCCTGTGGTCCTTTCTACATATTTGATCATGATCTACAAATATTTTCTCTTCTTTTTTTCTAGTCTGTATGCCTGATGTTTCTTCTTGTCATTCTTTATAGACTATCTACAGCATTAATAGAATTGGTGAGAGCAAATATATGTATATTTTAAATTTTACTTAATTCTTTTTCTTTATTTGAAATGATCATATGGTTTTATTATTTTACCCTGATATTATAATGATTATGTTAGTGGTTTTCAGATGTTATACTAATGTTGCATTCCAGCGGTGAGACACCGTGGTCATAATGTGTAATGCTTTTTTATATATCACTTTACTCAATTTGATAATATTGTATTAATTTTTTCATTGTAATTCATCAGGGACTCTGTAATATTCTTTATTGTCTTTTTTAATTTTGGTATCAGTGTAAGAGTTGCTTCATAAAATAAATTAAAAGGTACTCTTGTTTTTTTAAAAAAATTTAGGGTAATAGTCCCATTAACTCTTTTTTTTTTTTTTTTTTTTTTGGTAAATGAAAATTTATTACTATGGTGTTTTTATCATCAAATCTTATGATCTTGGTCTTTCCTTCTTGTCTTTGTGTGAGGCCAAAAAAAATACATTGATTATTTTAATAACCTTTGTGCCGAAACTTCACTATTTCCCTCAAAATTCAAACAACCATCATTGGATACAAAGGCTGTATTTTTAATTTCACTTACTTTTTATTTTATTTTTTTAATTTTATTTTAATTTATTTTTTCAAATACATTTGTCTCTGCCTACCCCCCACCACTTTCCCTTACCCCCTCTCTCCTTCCCTCCCTCAGCTCTTCCCCTTTGGTTTTGTCCATGAGTCCTTGCTATATGTTCCTTGACTTTCCCCTTCCCTTCCTTTTCCCCGCCCCTCCTCCCTCCTTCCCTCTTGTCTCTGTTGATTTCTTTTCCTTTCAGCATTGCTGGTATTATTTTCTTGCATCTTTGTATTGTTGGTTAGGTTCCGCTTATAGGTGAGATCATATGGTATTTGTCTTTCGCCCCCTGGCTTATTTCGCTTAGCATAATGCTCTCCAGTTCCATCCATGCTGTCGCGAAGTTTATAGTTCTTTTTTTCTTTCTGCTGCGTAGTATTCCACTGTGTATATGTACCATAACTTTTTCGTCCAATCATCTACTGATGGGCATTTAGGTTGCTTCCAACAGTTGGCTATTGTAAATTGTGCTGCTATGAACATTGGGGTGCATAGGTTCTTTTCTATTGGCGTTTTGGTGTTCTTAGGGTATAGTCCCAGCAGGGGAATCACTGGATCAAAAGGCAGTTCCATTTTCAGCTTTTTGAGGAAATTCCACACTGCTTTCCATAGTGGCTGCACCAGGCTGCATTCCCACCAACAGTGTGCTAGGATTCCCTTTTCTCCACAGCCTCGCCAGCACCTGTTGTTTGTGGATCTGTTTATGATGGCCATTCTGACCGGTGTGAGGTGGTACCTCATGGTGGTTTTGATCTGCATTTCTCTGATGGCTAGTGATGCTGAGCATCCTTTCAAATGCCTCTGGGCCCTCTGTATCTCCTCCTTGGAAAAGCGTCTGCCCAGGTCCTTTGCCCATTTTTTGATTGGATCGTTTGTCTTCATGGAGTGCAGTCCTGATAGTTCTTTATTTTTTCTTGGAGATCAAACCTCTATCTGATGTATCATTAGCAAATATATTTTCCGATATGGTAGGCTCCCTTTTCATTTTGCTGATGTTTTCTTTATCTGTGCAGAAGCTTCTTATTTTGATGAGGTCCCACCTGTTTATTCTTTCCTTTATGTCCCTTCCTTTAGGAGACAAATCGGTAAAAATACTGCTGAGTGGGATATCTGAGAGTTTCCTGCCTATGTTCTCCTCTAGGACTTTTATGGTGTTGCAACTTATATTTAAGTGTTTTATGCATCTTGAGTTTGTTTTTGTGTATGGTGTAAGCTGATGTTAAAATTTCAGTTTTTTGCATGTAGCTGTCCAGGTCTCCCAACACCATTTGTTGAAGAGGCTATTTTTACTCCACTTTATGCTTCTGCTCCCTTGTAAAATATTAATTGACTGTAGAGACATGGGTTTATTTCTGGGCTTTCTATTTTGTTCCACTGATCTATGTGTCTGTTCTTGTGCCAGTACCAGATTGTTTTGATTATAGTGGCCTTGTAGTAGAGTTTGATGTCCGGTATTGTGATCCCTTCTACTTTGTGTTTCTTTCTCAAAATTACTGTGGCTATTCAGGGTCATTTATGGTTCCATATAAATTTTTGAAATGTCTGTTCTCTTTCTGTGAAATATGTCATTGGTATCTTAATAGGGATTGCATTGAATCTATAAATTGCTTTGGGTAGTATGGACATTTTGATGATATTAATTCTTCGAGTCCATGAGCACAGTATGTGCTTCTATTTATTTGTGTCTTCCTTAATTTCTTTCTTCAGTGTTGTATAGTTTTCTGCGTACAGGTCTTTTACCTCCTTGGTTAAATTTATCCTAGGAACTTTATTTTTCTTGTTGCTAATAGCAAATGGTATTTGTTTTCTGATTTCTTCTTCTATTTCATTGCTAGTGTACAAAAATGCCTGTGATTTCTGAATATTGACTTTGTATCCCGGTGTTTTGCCAAATTCACTTATTAGGTTGAGGAGTTTTTTGGTAGAGTCTACAGGGTTTTCTATGTACACTATCATGTCATCTGCAAACAGTTTTTACTTCCTCCTTTCCACTTTGGATGTCTTTTATTTCTTTTTCTTGTCTGACCACTGCGGCTAGGACTTCCAATACTATGTTGAATAGAAGTGAAAGCAGACATCCTTGTCGTGTTCCTGATCATAGGGGGAAAGCTTTTAGTTTTTGCCCGTTGAGTATGATGTTGGCTGTAGGTTTTTCATATATAGCCTTTATTTCATTGAGGTATGCCCCCTTTATTCCCATTTTGCTGAGTGTATTTATCATAAATGGGTACTGTACCTTATCGATTGCTTTTTCTGCATCTATCGAGATGATCATGTGGTTTTTGTCTTTACATTGTTTATGTGATGTATTACATTTATTGATTTGCATATATTGAACAATCCCTGCATCCCTGGGATGAATCCCACTTCATAATGGTGGATGATCTTTCTAATGTATTGCTGGATGCAGTTTGCCAATATTTTGTTGAGGATTTTAGTGTCTATGTTCATCAGTGATATTGGCCTGTAGTTTTCTTTCTTTGTAGCATCTCTATCTGGTTTGGGGATTAAGGTGATGCTCTCTTAAAAAGAGTCTGGAAGTCTTCTTTCCTCTTGGATTTTCAGGAATAGTCTGAGAAGAACAGGAGTTAGCTCTTCCTTAAGTTTTTTGTAAAATTCTCCTATGAAACCATCCGGCCCTGGGCTTTTGTGTGCCGGGAGTTTCTTGATTACTGCTTCAATTTCCCTAGCTGTTATCTATTCAAGCTTTCTGCTTCTTCTTCATTCATTGTTGGAAGATTATACTTTTTAGAAATTTGTCCATTTCATTATAGGTTTTCAAATTTCTTGGCATATAATTGTTCATAGCAGTTTCTTAAAATCCTTTGTATTTCTGTGGTATCAGTTGTTACTTCTCTTCTTTCATATCTGATATTATTTATTTGGGTCCTCTTCCATTTTTTTCTTGATGGGTCTGCTTAAAGGCTTGTCAATTTTATTTATCTTTTCAAAGAACCAGCTTCTGGATTGGTTGATCCTCTGAATTGTTCTTTTTGTCTCTATGTCATTTAGTTCTGCTCTAATCTTGACTATTTCCTTCCTTCCACTTGCTCTGGGATTTATTTGTTGTTGTTTCTCTAGTTCTTGAAGTTGTAGTGTTAGGTCTTTTATTTGAAATGTTTCTATGTTTTTTAGGTAGGCCTGTATTGCTATGATCTTCCCTCTCAAGACTGCCTTTGCTGTGTCCCAGAAGTTTTGGACTGTTGTCTGTTCATTTTCATTTGTTTCCAGAAACTGTTTGATTTTTTCTCTTATCTCATTATTGACCCATTCATTGTTTAATAGTGTGCTGTTCAAATCCACAAGTTTGCCAGTTTTTGAGGTTTGTCCTTGAGGTTGGTTTCCAGTTTCAAGCCCTTGTGGTCTGAGGAAATGCTTGGTATTATTTCAGTTTTCCTGAATTTGCTGAGGCTTGCTTTGTGTCCTATCATGTGGTCTGTCTTTGTAAAAGTTCCATGCGCATTTGAAAAGAATATGTTTTTGCTTCTTTGGGTTGAAAGTTTCTAAAATGTCAGTTAAGTCCATTCGATCTAATGCATCATTTAGGTCCACAATATCCTTGTTGATGTTTTGTTCGGAAGATCTGTCCCTTTTTGACAACGGGATGTTAAAATCCCCTAATATCAGTGTGTTGCTGTCTATGTCTTTCTTGAAGTTGTCCAAGATTTTCCATATATATTTGGGTGCTCCTATGTTGGGTGCATATAAGTTTACAATGTTTATGTCTTCTTGATAGATTCTTCCTTTAAGTATTAGACGTGCCCCTCTGGGTCTCTTTTTATGGCCTTCGTTTTGAAATCTATTTTGTCTGATAAAGTATTGCTACTCCGGCTTTTTTTTTCCTGTCCATTTGGTTGAATTTTTTTTTCCCATCCCTTTACTTTCAGTCTGTATAGGTCCTTTGTTCTGAGGTGGGTCTCCTGTAGGTAGCATATGTGTGGGTCATGTTTTCTTATCATTCAGCTATCCTGTGTCTTTCGATTGGGGCATTTAGCCCATTTACATTGAGAGTTATGTTGATAGAATCTTATTCATTTTTTCCCTTGTACCAGGGTTTTCTCTTTCTCACTCTTTTTCTTCATCTTCTTAAACCAGTCTGTTTAGCATTTCTTGCAGTGCTGGTTTGGTGGTGATGTATTCTTTTAGTCTTCTTTTTTCTGGGAAACTCCTTATTTCACCTTCTATTTTAATTGAGATCCTTGCTGGGTAGAGCAGTCTTGGTGCAAACCTTTGCTTTTCATTACTTGGAATATTTCTTGCCATTCCCTTCTGGCTTGTAGAGAAGTCAGCGACTAGCCATATTGAGGCTCCCTTGTATGTTACTACCTGTTTCTCCCTTGCTGCCTTAGGATTCTTTCTTTGTCTTTGATATTTGTCATTTTAATGATGATGTGTCTTGAAGTGGGCCTCGTGGGTCCCTCTTGAATGGGGCCCTCTGTGCTTCCTAACTTGTGTTACTTTTTCTCTCCTCAAATTAGGAAAGTTTTCCATCATTACTTTTTCAAACCTCACCACTCCCCCATCACTCCCACCTCAGGTATGAAGCAGCTGATATATCCTTAAGCTTCTGGCTGCTGCTTTTTACCCTGGCCCTCTGAGGGTAGGTAGGTTCTCCTTTTTCTCATGTTCCTTAGGTCTCAAGCAAAGAATTGGTTAGTGTATATATACATAGATTTGTGGGTCTTACTTTCTACAGCTCTCTTTTTTTTCAGGGCTTTACCCTTTATACTCTCCTGCTGTTTTGTCAGCTCCCATTTCTGACACTTGAGTCTGTAAGGCTTCAGTTTGTTACTGCTTGAGTTATCAGCATGTTGTGGCATGCTGGTAATCAGCAAAGCAGAAATTTTAACCTCACCAGGTGCGCTTCTGTTTTTCAAAACTCTTTTCTGGTGTCTGTCAGCTTTTTCCTAAGATCTCTGTCATCTCTCCAACAATTGCTCAGTTTAACTCTCAACCTGGACTTCTGGCAGAGTTAATAAACAGATTTTAGGTCTCATTCATTCTATACTTCTCTCACTTGCAGAATTTATCCCTGAATCTACAGCTCTTCTGCCTTTCAGTTCTGTTCTGTACCATGTTTGAGGAAGGGCACTGTGGTTTTCTGCCTTAAGAGCTGTGGGATTTTGGGTACAGTACTTCATGCAAAAATGCCACAAATTTGAGTTTCAGCCATTGCAATTGCTATCTTCTAAGGATATTTCTGCTTGTTTTTCAGTGCTATCTGTTAGTTGGTTATAATATATTGTGTTCAGATTTTATAATCTGAGGGATTGTTTTCCTGACCAATTCACACTATGATAACTGGATGCTGAAAGTCACTCCCATGTATTTTAAAGTCACATTCTTCTTGCACATCACAGTAATATTAAAGGGAAAAAAATTCACCTCAGTGAATGCTGAGAAAATTGTTCTGCTGTTGTGATACACGGCATCTTTTACATTCTTCCCTTGTACTGCCTGTAATACCTTTTTGCAGGTTTGTGTTTACATATAGCTTCTTGAAGATATGTATTGCATGCTTTGAGGCTGTAGCTTCTTGAAAGCAGGGACAGTATTTTGCCTTGTCATCCAAGAGAATGAGGGCAGTTTTGGGGTATAAAGTGACTTCACAGTAAATAGTTTTAGAATGGATTATTAAATAAATTTGGTGGCAGGTACTTTTTGTTTTCTTCACAATGTAAATCACAAAACAAGAAAAATGATGGCCTTTTTTTGCAAGTTTTCTTATGAATGCCACAAAGAAACAGGATCGAAACTAGTCCCCAGTATCTAGTCAACTTGTGGTAATCATAGTTTCTATCCATTGCAGGGATCAGTGTCATTTAAAGATGTGACTGTGGATTTCACAGAGGAGGAATGGCAGCACCTGGATCCTGCTCAGAAGACTCTATACATGGATGTGATGTTGGAAAATTATTGCCACCTCATTTCTGTGGGTAAGAAAACCTGCATGAAACTTCCAGTATCATATATGTTCTTTCAAAGTGCTTCAAGTATGTGTGATCTTCAATTTCAGGGATAAGAGGTGATGAATCCTTTTTGGTTAACAGAAAGAGTTTATCTTTCACTTGCCCAGTGCAAGGTATTAAATTTACTGTTAAGCAAAGGTGCATCTTAATTTGCAGTACTGAAAATGCACCTTACTAGTTTTTAAGTGTATTGAACCCTAAGCAACTAATCCTGATCTTCCCTCATCAGGCTGTCACATGACCAAGCCTGATGTGATCCTCAAGTTGGAACGAGGAGAAGAGCCATGGACACCATTGACAAGTCACACCTGCTTAGGTGAGTTTCTGATTCTCAGGCAGATGAAACTAGTGGAAAATAAATTTATAAGCAGTTATAGGGTTGATGGCAACTTTGAAATATTTTGGGAATATCTTTTTAAAGGTTTTTAACCTTTAGAATTGTCATTATGCCTGCAAACTTGAAGCAAACTTTCTAATATCACTCTCCCTATATCTTTTTCTTTACTAGTTTGTTTGATGTTACCAAAGATAGTTGCCACTCTTGACTTAATCAGAATGTACTATGAACTTTCCTTCTTTTAAGTCTTTTTTTTTATTTGTCTTTTTCTGGCATTCTCATTCCCTTCTCTCACTGCTATTGTATAGATTTCTTTTAGGAATTCTTAAATCAGTCTCTAGAAAATTGAAAATTCTTGGTTTATGCTTCTCTTCTTAGTTGCTTTCCATTTCTTTTTTCCATTCTTACCTCAGATTTATTTTATGTGCTAAGTTTATGTTCTCATTCTCAGCATAAACCTAGCTATTAATTTTAAAACTCCTATGCTTGGCCCATACTGATAATTCCATAGTTAGCATTTTCTTCCATTAAATGTCATGTTCATTTTATTTATTATTTATTTATTTATTTATTTTTAACCTCACCCAAGGATATGTGTATTGATTTTAGAGAGAGAGGAAGGGATAGAGAGAAAGAGAGAGAGAGTGTGAAAGAAAGAGAAACATTGATGTGAGAGAGAACCATCAATAAGCTGCCTCCCGTATGAAACATGACTGGGGATCAAACCTGAAACCTAGGTAGGTGCTCTGACCAGGAACAAAACCTGCAATCTTTTGGTGTACGGCATGATGCTCCAACCTACTGAGCCACTCGGGCAGGGCTTATGGTTGATTTTATATAGCTGATCACCAATTACTAGGTCAATCCTTGGTTGTTTTTTAAATATATTTTATTGATTATGCTATTACATTTGTCCCAGTTTTTCCCCCTTTGCTCATCTTCACCCAGTACTCCACCTTCCCTCCAGCAGTTTCACCCACTTTTTTCATGTCTGTGGGTTGTGCATATAAGTTCTTTGGCTTCTACCTTTCCTATACTATTTTTAACATCCCCCGGTCTATATTTTACCTACCAATTATACTTCTTAATTCTTGCACCTTAACCCCAAATCTCCCCCTACCCTCTCCCTGCTGATAACCCTCCAAATGATCTTCATATCTATGATTCTGTTCCTCTTCTGATTGTTTGCTTAGTTTGTTTTTTTTAGATTCAGTTGCTGATACTCATGAATTTGTTGCCATCTTAACGTTCATAGTTTTGATCTTCTTTTTCTTAAATAAGCCTCTTTAACATTCTGTAATAATGACTTGGTGGTGATGAACTCCTTTAGCTTTACCTTGTCTGGGAAACACTTTATCTGCCCTTCCATCCTAAACAATAGCTTTGCTGGATAGGGTAATCTAGGTTGTAGGTAGTTGCTTTTCATCACTTTGAATATTTCTTGTCAGTCCCTTCTTGCCCGCAGTTTCTTTTGAGAAATCAGTTGATAGTCTTAAAGGAACTCTTTGGTAGGTAATTCTCTGCTTTTCTCTTGCTGTTTTTAAGAAGCACTCTTAAATCTTTAACCTTTGGCACTTTAATTATGATATGTCTTGATATGGTCCTTTTTGGCTCCAACTTCTTTGAGACTCTTGGTGCTTCCTGGACTTGTATGTTTATTTCCTTGACCAAATTAGGGACGTTTCCTTTCAATATTTTTTCAAATAAATTTTCAATCTCTTGCTCTTGCTCTTCTCTTTCTGGCATCCCTATGATTTGGATTTTGGCACATTTGGAGATGTCACAGAGGTTCCTAAACCTATCCTCATTTTTCTGAATTCTTGTTTCTTCTTTTTGATATGGTTGAATGTTTATCTCTTCCTTATATTCCAAATTGTTGGTTTGAATCCCAGCTTCCTTCCCTTCTCCGTTGGTCTCCTGTAGATTATTCTTTATTTCACTTAGTGTAACTTTCATTTCTTCCTTTATTTTTTTGCCCTGTTCAAGGTGTTCTCTGAGCATCCTGATAACCAGTATTTTGAACTCAGATAGTTTGGCTATCTCCGTTTCACTTAGTTCTTTTTCTGGGGTTTTATTCTGCTCTTTCATGTGGCCCACATTTCTTTGTCTCCTCAATTTGGCAGGCTCCATATGTTTGTTTCTGTGTATTAGGTAGAGCTGCTTTTACTCCATGTCTTAGTAGCATAGCATATGTAAAAAAAAAAAGCACCTGTAAATTGTGTGGGGCAGAACCTTAAGTAATTGCCAGGGCAGGACAACCCGTTTCACCACTTTGTGGCTGTGTGGGAACAGCTCATAGTGGAGACAATGCTGCCTCCTGGCTTCTGGCAGTTTGCTTGGCATTCACCCTGTTTCCAGTCACTTCACTCCTTTCCCCTGTTCGACTGATGCCCTTCCAGCTGCTGGTCAGGTGGTAAGTCCCTGAGCAGGTGGGTTTCCATAGGTTCTAAGACCATGCTGGCCCTTGAAGCAGCAAAAATCTGGTTATTTCTTCAGCTACCCCAACCCCACTGGTTTTTAACACCAGAGCTAACAGGGATCTATTTTCCCAGTAATGGAACCCTGGTCTGTGTGGTCTGGCATGGGGCTGAGTTTGCTCACTCTCAAGGTATCCCTCCCATCCATTGTCCTTTCCACTGCTGCCTCCACCTTTCTGCTCCATTCCGCCTCTCTGCCCCACATCACCTCTCGCCCATCTCTGCGACTCAACTCCATCCCTGCTACGTATCTGAATGAATGTGTCTTCTTTAAATCCTTGGCTGACAGACCAGCTTGATTTTCTGACAGTCCTGGATGTTAGTAGTTTTGAGATCTGGTTGTAATTCTTTCTATGGTTGTGTGAGGAAGTGAAGCACATCTACCCATGCCTCCATCTTGACTGGAACTCTATATTATAATAATCTCATTTATTCTCAGGACTTGAGCTCTTTGTTTTTTGTCTATGCTTCTGAATGGACATACTCAGATAATTTCTCCCACCTTCACTCTAGTCCTTTAGGAATTCTACATTATAATGTCTTACCTATTTTGTGGCATATGTTAGACATAAAAATCACTAACTTTTCTAGCTCTTAAATTGTTTTCCCTTACCTATTTTTTACTTATTTTCTCCTGCCTGATATCTGCTTGATTCTTCTTTCTCTGCCATCATCTCTATGGTTCCCTTTACAATTTGTGTTATGTTTACCAGCCTCTGAAATATATTTACTTCTCCCATATTTACATTTCTCATTGACATTCTACAAAATAACTATCTTATTTTATGTCTTGATTATTGTATTTGCAGCTCATCTTCACTATAATTTTTCCTAGTTCATTAAAATTATATTGTTACTTCTCTGACAACATATGTTACTTGTTATTTGTTATTTTTTTAATATGAAATTGAAATTCTTCATCTTTCAAGGTCTAACATAATAAGTCCTAATCCAGTCTTTTCAACTTTGTTTCTCTCTCTTATAGGAAACTCTTGGTAATTTCCACTTAATCCAACTTTTCTCCAAATATAGGATTTGTCATCTCTGTACTTTTCATTATACTGTGTTCTCCCTTCCACAAACTGTATATCTTATGGTTCAGTCTTGAGATTTCTTCTCTATGAACTATTCCTTGACTACTCCACATCATGTCCATAGTTTTCTTTTTCTGTGAATTCCTATGCTACTTATGAATTATAACACACACAGTACTTGGATATGATTATATCATTTAATACCTAATTGTACATGGTTTATGCTTAAGGTCTCTTTCCATCAAAGATAAGATCCCCTGTTTCTGCCTTTGCTAAACAATAACTTGTTTAGATATTTAGTAGTTGTTCCATGACCTGTTGGTGGAGCTATACAGGAGAGATATCTGTTTCCCCCAGTCAGAAAGCATGTACTTATAAGTTCCTGTTAGATATACCTGTATAGGCTATGGCTATATACATTCTGAATGAGTTGTTTGGTTTCTATCAAGCACACCACCTATGATATACAGTATTAATGTAAACTTTTTATGGCTGTGATTTGTCAGATATGGGAACAACCCTTAAAACTTGTTTGAATGTAAGGGATGATTCTAGAGGATGTAAAATTTTGTTTACAGGATAAATTCCTTATATGTTAGTGTTGGTGGTAATGGTCTCAAGGCAGAAAAAGATTTTGGAGCCTAGATTTAACATTGTTCCACAATATTTGGATGATTACAAAGTAACAGAAGTCAAATATAACTCTAAACTTATAAGAGAAATGAAAGTTAAAGTTACAGAAAGATCTAGAACCAGAATGAGCAATCTCATCTGTAGTTAGGTAATGTTACTGTATTGGGGAAGGACTTGAATAGTGTTTCTTTTAAACCTGAAAAAATAAGTCAGCAATTGAAAAGAGGAATAGTTATAATTGATAGTCATGAGAGTTTTTAGTTGAACAATTCTGAAAAAAATTGACAATAATGGCAATCTAAATACACCAGTCAATGTAACTCTAGTCTGTTTTAAATTTCCTGTTGTGTTTTTTTAGTTTTTTGTCACAAGAGAAAATTATTCTCAGCTATATAGAGGATCAGACCTACAATATAGGATAATTTTTCTAAACACTGGGAAATTAATTAATGCTTGGAATTATAAATTTACCATTGATGGCTAGAAGGACAGGGATGGTAGAACAACTGGAAGTTTTTACCTTGCAACCTAGGGGTAATATATAAAAATAAAGGCTCTGTTCTGTGTCCTCCAGAGGTAGTCCTTCCTCTAATATTTTCCCTGAATAAGCTTTTCTACTAACCTTGTCCATCCTATTTAAAGATTAATGCCCTTGATAGGGTCACTTCATTGCCTCTGAATCTGCCTATCCAAGCATCAGTCCCTCTTTCACCATTTTTGTCTTCTGTTCCCTGCTTCTTGTGTTCAGTCAACTTTATGTATGAATTTCTGTTGAAAAGTTATTAACATTCATTTCTTATTTTTTTATTCCTTTCCACACTGAAGCAGAGATTTTATTTAGCTTCTGTGTCCCAGGAAGGGAGTAATTGGTCTGGGGTCTTTTTTGGCCGCATATAATAGACCCTAATTCAGTTCCTTTTCATAGCAAATGTGTGAAGATTCACAAGTTGTTAAATTTTTTTCTAGAAAAAAACTGGAAGGCTGAAGACTTTTTAGTGAAACTCAAAGAATGCCAAGATAAGCATTCTAGATCAGTTGTATTCATAAGTCCCAAAAAACTGATTAAGGAAAACAATAATGCATGTGACAGGACATTTACTTTAAGCAAAAACCCTATAAATTCAAAAAATCTAATTCCCGAATATGAAAGTCATGGAAAGATTTTTAAAAATGTATCAGAATTAATCATCGGTAATCTAAGTCCTACAAGAAAGAGGCATAATGAGTATTATGGATATGAGAAATCACTCTTCAATACTAAACCAGAGATAGCTCACCATGGAGTCAAATCCCATAATCAACATGGTAGAGGTATCAGTCATAATGAAGTGCTGATGCAATATCATAAGATGGAAACTCAACTACAATCATTTGGATGTAATGACTGTGAGAAATTATTGCTTAAAAAAGGTTTACTTACACATCACAGAGCTTACAGAAATGAAAACCCATCTGAGTATAATAAAAGGAGAAGAGCAACCAATACTGAAAAAAAACATATATGCACTGAATGTGGGAAGTCCTTCTGCAGGAAGTCAGTATTGATTCTGCATCAGGGAATTCACACAGAGGAAAAACCTTATCAATGCCATCAATGTGGAAATTCATTTAGAAGGAAATCATATCTCATTGATCATCAAAGAACTCACACAGGAGAGAAACCCTTTGTTTGTAATGAATGTGGTAAGTCCTTCCGTCTAAAGACAGCCCTCACTGATCATCAGAGAACACATACAGGGGAGAAGTCATATGAATGTTCACAGTGTAAGAATGCCTTCAGATTGAAGTCACACCTTATTCGTCATCAGAGAACTCATACAGGAGAAAAACCATATGAGTGTAATGACTGTGGAAAGTCTTTCCGCCAGAAGACAACGCTCTCTCTACATCAGAGAATTCATACAGGAGAAAAGCCCTATATTTGTATAGAATGTGGGAAGTCCTTTCACCAGAAGGCAAATCTTACTGTACATCAAAGAACTCATACAGGGGAAAAGCCCTATATTTGTAATGAATGTGGGAAGTCCTTCTCCCAGAAGACAACCCTTGCTCTTCATGAGAAAACTCATAATCAGGAGAAACCCTATATTTGTAATGAATGTGGTAAGTCCTTCCGCCAGAAGACAACCCTTGTAGCGCATCAGAGAACACATACTGGGGAAAAATCTTATGAATGTCCTCACTGTGGGAAGGCCTTTAGAATGAAGTCATACCTCATTGATCATCACAGAACTCACACAGGAGAGAAACCATATGAATGTAATGAATGTGGAAAATCCTTCAGTCAGAAGACAAATCTCAATCTACATCAGAGAATTCATACAGGTGAAAAACCGTATATTTGTAATGAATGTGGGAAGTCCTTTCGCCAGAAAGCAACCCTCACTGTACATCAGAAAATACACACAGGTCAGAAATCCTATGAATGTTCTCAGTGTGGGAAGGCCTTTAGCAGGAAGTCATATCTCATTCATCATCAAAGAACTCATACCGGAGAGAAACCATACAAATGTAATGAATGTGGGAAGTGCTTCCGCCAGAAGACAAATCTCATTGTACATCAGAGAACCCACACAGGAGAGAAACCCTATATTTGTAATGAGTGTGATAAATCCTTCAGTTATAAGAGAAACCTCATTGTCCATCAAAGAACTCACAAGGGAGAAAACATGGAGATGCAATAAATGGTGTGATTTCTTTGTGAAGCTTTCCTTTCCAAGTTATTATACAACTTTAGTTTCTTTTTAAAACATGCTAATATGGTAATTTTAATCACAAATGTCATAATAGTTAATAATTTAAAGTACCGTACAGCATGACTGTTTTATCGTTTAATAGCATAAAAATGGGTGTGATCATTGTTACTGAACTCTATCAGCAATGATTCTAATTTTTTAAGTTCTGCTGACTCCGTTTATTTTTAAGACTTATACATGGAGAGGCAAAAGAATAATAATAATAATAATAATAATAATAATTATAAACAGTTTCCATAAGAGAAATGAAATATGGACTATATTTCTCATTGCACTCAGTGAAATAATAAGTAGTTGTTATTTCTTCTAAGATTATCACTTCCCTGCCTTATAACATCATGAAGTAGTTGCATGTCTTTATATATTTTTATAATACATCATGAATTCCTTGTGTCTTTTTTCACTTGACATTCTGAAGATTCATACATTATTGTATGGGCAGTAGTGTTTTTATATTCATTTTGTATATTTCATTTTAAGACTATACCACTGTTTATCCTCCAGATGGTTATTTGTATTTTTTATAATTTTGCATTGTAATGAAGATACTGCTATAAATATCGTTGTATATTTTTGTGTGTGTATGTATTTCCATTGATTTTATGCTGAGACTGAAATTACTCTACCCAAGGGTGTATTTAAGCTTTTTCAGCTTATGATAGATACTGCCAAACATCTCGTAGATATTCCAGCTGAGATAATTCACTTTGAAAAGTAACAGCTCTGATTGTAATCAGTGTGGAAAAAGGTCTTTAACAATCATTCAATTGGAGAATTCCTATTAAAAACAAATTCTTACGATGTCATTATTGTCACAGTGCTGTTGTGAATATATGAATGTCATTAATGTAAAAAGAGCTTTAGCTGTGGCTGAAACCTTACACAATACTATTGGAGGGAATCCTGTAGGTGTCATGATTATAGGGGTAATTTTAGTCCTGGTTTACATCTTATTCAGCATCAAAGAGTTCATACTAGAAAAAGGGAGGTTAAGAAGGGACATAGGTGAGTAAAATTTTTAAGCATAGTAATCACAGTAGACACAGTTATGAAAAATGTATAAGTAAGCTTACATATAATATAACATGCCTATATAAAATAAGCCTTTTATAGCTTGGTTTATCTTACAGAGCCTGTGGGTCTCTGGAAATTCCAAATGAAAACTCATCGAAGAGGTTTTGATGTTTGAGAATTGGAGATCTGCTAAGACAATAGCATCTCTACCATCTTTTCTGTGAAAATAGTAAGCTCAGCAGCAACTTGAATAGTGTTACTAAATGCCCTTCTTGAGGAGGTTTTATTAACCCATATTTATACATACAATTATTGTGCGTAATAAAACATTGTAGAAATTAAAATAAGCAAGAGGTTTTTTCCCCAGAAAAAGTAGAGCTGTAAACCAGCTCTAAATAAGAAGAAAAATGGTTGGTAGCTCAAGTGTCTGGCAAAATAATGCTTATAAGCCTTCTGGCCTATAAAAAGGGGCAGCAATTGCCAGTGGAGAGTAAATGGAAACATGCTTGTCAGTCCTGATCCTGCAGGTAATTTCAGAGCAGAAAAGAACAATGGGTGATGGAGAAAATCAGACATGATAAAAATTTAGATTTGGACATAAGATAAAAGATATAATGCCTATTCTAACTAGAGAAAACTTTGTGATATTTAACTTTAATAATCACTATGCTTAGACACTTTTAAAGATTGCAGGCAGGATGAATATATAGTAAAATAACTACACGTAGATAAGACTGCCAGTTCTATATTCCTAACTATGAAAACCTAGGAAGTACTTCATTTGAATAAATCTATTTGTAGGTGAGTAAATAGTATTAATATACTAACAGTGGTGACTACTAACAAAATAATTGTAGTCATAACCATGGATGCAAGCCTTCCTCTTTTACCTGGGTATGTAGTGACTGGGAGGCATGGTCTAACTACATCTGTTTGTTCTAGCCTCAACCCCCAAAAAATATTGGAAATGTATGTATCAGCATTCTCTTGGATATTCTATTCTTTCTTATCTTTGCTTTCCTTGGCATTTCCATGGTTATCACAAAAGTGTAAGTTTTCTGGCATCCCTACATTTACTATTTTTCTTCTTTATTGATTATATCATGAAAGTAGCCATGTTTTGTTTGCAGTAGAACAATGTATGCCTGTGCTACTTTATTTTTATACAGAGGACATTACATTCATGTTTGAATGTGTATGAGGTACTAGTATGGTGTACTAATGGACAGTTTTTAAATTACTACATTTAAAAGTATACTTGTAGACTCACAGATGATTAGTCTGTTTCTTTACCTAAGAGAACTGTTAGTATAGGAAGTTCTATATACAAGTCTTAAAAGTGTTTGTATACCATTCATTGAGTATCTCTCCATATTTGTGCTCTTAGCTGTTTCCCAACATCTTAATTTCTACTCTCCTATCATAGTTGCTATACCCACAATAATATATGAGTATATATCACTAACAGGAAGGGAGGAGATGGACTGTTATTAGAAGAGAAACATTGCTACTGAATTCATTCTAACAAAAACTTTTAAATTGAAGCCAGTCACACATCCTGGGCAGACAGAAAATATCTAAACCTAAATATTATTTTTTTTACATTTTAATGGAAATTATGGAAATATAAAAATATAAAAATTATATATTTCCATTATTTTCCAAATCCTGTATTAACCCCTCATACAAATCTCTGAAACTGTATAATCTCAGTTGGCTGAGGGGGAAAGGAACAATGAAAAGACATTCTGCAAAAGTTTGTCTTTAAAAAGTTATCCTATAGCCCTGATCGGTATGGCTAGGTTGGAGCATCACCCTGTAGATCAGGAGTATCCAGCCTTTTGGCCTCTCTGGGCTGCACTGGCAGAAGAAGAGTTGTCTTCAGCTACATATTAAATACATTGCAACATGTAATCACAAAAAATCCCATAATGTTTTAAGTAAATTCATGATTTTATGTTGGGCCACATTCTCAGCCATCCTGGGCTACGTGTGGCCCAGGGGCCACAAGGTTGGATACTCCTGCTACACCAAGATGTCTCAGGTTCAATTCCCAGTCAGGGCATGTGTGTAGGTTGTGGATTCAGTCCCAGTTGGGGCACATGTGAGAGGAAACTGATCAAAGTTCCTGTGTCACATCAGTGTTTCTCTACCTTTCTTTCTCCATTCTCCTCTCAGAATATCAATAAGCATGTCCTTGGGTGAGGATTAAAGGAAAAAAAAAGGTATCCTATTTGAAGAGTCCCTGCAAAAATGTCAAAGTGGCAGATATGAGCTTTTCAATATGATTTTTCTATTTTTTATTTTTTAACTTTTACATTTAAAACTATGTCTAATTTTATAAATATATACCACTTTAAAAAATATATACCATAATATTTTTAGAAACATGCCAGTTTGTAGGTTTAACCACTAAGCTTAAAGTGATTTCTTCTGGCAGCCACAGAAAACTAATACAATATTTTGGTACCAGGAAATGGGGTTTGCTGAAACAAATACCTGAAAATGTGGAAGTACTTTTGAGTATCAGTAATGAGCAGAGGCTGGATTTTAAGCCACATGATAGTAAAGGCCAGATTGCCTTAAACAGACTGTTCGGTTTATTAATGTTAAAGGTGCCCCTGGTGCAGTCTCAGGAAGAAGAGGAGAGCAAGATAGAGAAAGCTTATATATATATAGAAGAGAATGTTTGTAGAAATATTCACATTTAACAGCACTTCTGGTGAGAATTCAGAAGGAAATGAGGAAACTTGATAGAAACTGGAGGAAAGATGACTCTTGTTACATTGTAGCAGAAAATCCAACTGAATCCCTGTGCTACAGTTGTATTAAAAGTGTGATAATAGGGGAAAGGTGTAATGGGCACCATAATGAGGTGTCTTAATACTGAAGAACAATGCAAACAACTTCTTAGAGTATAATGAATTTATTATTATAGGGTAATTTACTTATAGGGGTGTAGGATCAAAGCAGACAAATGACCCAACACTCTTCATTAACAGACTTCTAATACAGTACTTTTATTATAGTATAACTCAAGTACAAGTGATTGACCAGATAAAGCAACTAAGAATGCGCCAGGGACCATATCTCCTGCTGGTTTTGTAATGGATGATTGTTTATAATTGATACTATTACCAGTTTGATAGTTTTCATGGTTGTCATGCCACTCCGGCTGTTACAAAAATATTTATGGTACATTGTATAAGTTTAGGGAACACAGATAATCTTCAACTAGAAAATTTTGGTAGGCTTGCTAAGGACAGTAAAATTGGTTAAAGGTCACAACATGGAATCCAAGGCACAAAGATGGAGTTGGTTTTTGTTTACAGCCACATCTACCCATGAAAGCAAACTTAGAAGTGAGGAACTTTAATATTCGTCTGAAGGGATTTCTAAAGAAAATGTTGAAAGTGGGGCCAGGTATTGTGCTGCTTATAGTAAAATGTGAGAGAAATCAAGGAAGGAACTGTTAGCAAAAAGGAAACAAAACTTGATCACTTGGGAAATTTTCAGTCTATCTAAGCAGTAAAGGTTGCTAAAATTAGGAGATTCACTGTGGGGAAAGCTTGGTCTAGAGAGGGTGTAGACAACCTTTTTCTGAAGGATTGCAATCAAATATTTCAGGAGAAACACTAGAAATAGTCTGACCCAACCAAGAATGATCTGTGGAGGATCCTTTTGTCTAATTGTGTGAATTCCTATGACAAACACGGGAGACCCACAAAGTCTTTGAATGTTAGATTAGTAGAAACACTAATGGTTTGGACTGAAAAGGACAGAAACAGGAAATGGGCTAATGGAGATAATTGACTGCAAATGTGCTACCCTTCAAGAAAAAAAGGATGACTCTGGATGCAGAGGCAGAGGCCTAAGGAACTAGGTGTCTTGAGAACTGAGATATGACTGGACAG